TTTTGATTATTGTATAAGGTATATTAATCATAATCTATTTTATTTCGCTTCCGCACTTAAAATAAATATATACATTTCCTTTTAATTTCCGGGGTTCTTACATAATTTATCTTATCTACTAATAAAATTATTAATATTTTTATGAAACCTTTTTAAAAATAAATTTTAAATTTTAAATAATAAATTTTAAGTGTCTTTACCATCTTTAATTTGTAAAAAATTGTTAGAGAATTCAAATTAAATACAAATGTTCGAAAATAACTATAAAGGAAATTTAAACAAGTGAAGTTATTTGTATTCTAATAATTGTAATACACTAAAATTAGACTTTTTGTATATAAATACAAATTGAATCAATGGAAGTAAACAACATTTTTTACAATTTATTCTAAAAACTCTCTCTCTCTCTCCTTAAGTTTTTCAAAGACTACTTGGTAACACAAACAAATGATAATCTCTTAGTTTTTTCATGTAGAACCTTCAATATTGAAACTATTAAGATATAAATTATTATTGGGATGTCAAACTCTCTCTCCTTAATTACGTTAGATTTGATTTTGATATTACTTTAATTTAAATAAATAATTGAATTGAGTTAACTACATATATATATATATATATATATAGACAGGCACATACGGAGAGAGGCTGGCGCAGGTAGGTGGCAGAAGTGAGTGTGGTTAATTGGTTTGACCTCAATTTAATTTGGATTTGTCTTTTCATCACCAAGTGTCTCTTTGTGTGTTGAGGCCCCCTCTCTGCCTTCTTATCCCATTTCTCTGTCCTTTCCTTTTCATTCCCAATAATAATAATAATTAATTGAAAACAAAAGTATTTGCTAACTTCACCGAGATGTTCATAGAAATTTCCAATGTTTTTAAATTAATTAGTGATCAAACTTAATTATTTTCCTTGAGTAATCTCCATTTGATGTTATTTTACTCTGATCATAGCGACTTTAATTCAACAAAAACTTGTAGTTTGCAGAATGGTCCAAGTCAAAGTTGAGAGAAGGATACCCATTAAGAGTCAAAGCAATTTCAAGATTTGATGATCATGCAATAAATTCGATAATGAGGTAATAATGGCGGAGTCAGAGCAGCCCATTTTCAGATTAATCAGAATGGACGGTTCAGATTGAGAGAACCATGAATATGTACATATATATATATGTACAAGTAAGTTCATTGTCAGCTAAGCTGTCTGAAATTGACCCAACTTAAAGAAGTTCTCTCCTACTTAATTAAAGCTCTCAGCTATGCCTGACAACTACTTACTTCACTTCCAAAATTTGCACATAATATTTTGTCTGTCTCTACTCCTCTACTTTTAATTCTTTTAGTATGACAATGAAAATTAACAGGGAAATTAATGATTATTTATATAAAAGGACTGGTCTGGAAATAGTATAATGCTTTATCTGTTTATTTACCATTTGGGAGCTTCAACTCTGTTGTTGTTTTGTTGATAAGAGTATTGCAGGCTCTACTTTTGTGTTATCTGGGAATTAGGGATTTTATAAATTTCTAAGAAAAACTAAAACTTTCAAGTCAAAATCCAAATAGTATGAAAGATCCCCATAATTTCTTTTCATTACAAAAAATTGATCTATCTATAGATTGAGTTCTCTGGGTTACCTGCAAATTCATTCATTAAATTGATCCAAATAGTCTCTATAGATTTGTTGAGGGAATTTTTTGTGTATAATTTCCCTGAGAGAGAATTTGTGTATATTTTGAGGGAAAGAGAAATTATAGTATTTTGTTGTTTATATGAAACTCTTATTTGACTATCGATTTTACTGTCATACTTATCAAATTACCATAAATGTTGTATATTTTTTATTTTTTAATTTGTGTGATTGTATGTATAGCGGGAATTTATTTTCCATCAGAATTGAAAAGCCTCATACTGTTGTTCTGAGCTTAGACACTGTATATAGGCACTGATCACTCAAGAGTACAAACGTTAGATGAATTTATTACTACAACACATTTTTTCACATGACTTGTCAATAAAAAATTAATTTTTAAATTTTTTGTTTTACTTTTTAACAAGAAGACAGAATCACTTGTATGGGAAGCAAAATCCCTCCGCCTAGAAAGAAGGAAATCTTCAATCCCTTTTTTTTTTTTTTTTTTTTTGTGTTTGAAAGGTGTTGTTTTGTCCTCTCTGAAACTTTAGAAATTTTATCCTATATATATATACATATGTTTATATATCCTGAAAGTTTTTTTTTTTTTTTGAACAGTTAGTTATACATGATATACACATTATATATATATATAGAAACAGATAGGCTTCATTCTGTCTGATCAATCAGACGCATATTGTGATTATTATAGAAGAATGGTGAAGAGAAAGATGTGGTTTTTTATAACAGTAGTTTCTACGCATGTCATCATCAGCTGGGTTGCTGTAACAGGCAACCATTTAACTTCATATGATTCTTCTTCTTCTCCCCAACCACGTAAAATTCCATTTTTGTTTTTTTTAAAATCTTTTCTCTCTTACTTTATCAAAATTCAGCAGTATTTTTCAATTTGTTCTAACATAATATGGCTGCAATTGATAAAAACAGGCCAAACCCTAAGCTTTTCAGAGCCTGGCTTTCGTTCAAAACAGGTATCAGTCAATTAATTATAGTGATATATGTGTATATATGGTGTGTTAATTAATTAGTTATATATAATTTGTTAGGTGTATGGAAGAGAGCTGAGCAGACTTGGATCCAGGCCGCCCGACTGTGAGCACAAGTGCGGTGGTTGCAGGCCATGCAATGCAATTCAAATACCTGCAAACTCTCATCATTTTGGAGTTGAATATGCAAATTATGAGCCTGAAGGATGGAAATGCAAGTGTGGAACTTCCTTCTTCAACCCATAATTATTATTATTAATTCATTTTTCTATTCTAATACATTCATCATCTCTCTCTCTCTCTCTCTCTCTTCTCTCCAGTCTCTATATTTACTGTATTCAAACCTTAATACCTGATGGGGTGATTGGAGATTTTGATTTCATCCATATTTAGTTACTATTACGTAAATCAAGATGTTTCTAAAATAGGGTCACGTCTAAATGTTTGATTAATTTGCTAAACATACTAAAATAAGTCCTAACTAAGATAAAGCTTCTCCAAACAGCATTCATAGCCGACTGCTGCTTTGCTTAGTTTGCGGATGTATATAGCATTCTCATAAGTGGCGGATATGAGTGTAGGTTTCGCTTGATCAAAATGATTTAAAGGGAAAAAAGAAATTATTTCCGGTCGGTGTACATGTATTTCGGGTTTGCTGACCAATCTGTCCCCGATGATTGGACGAAAACTACGACTGAGGGAAGTTGACAGAAAATGACGAGAGAGGAAAGGTAACCAGTTGATGCATGATTCTACCTTATGTGTTGTCTGCAATGATTGAATAAAGAAAGCTGCAGAAAGCTTGGTAGATGATGACGATGGAGAAAAGCTGCGGACAAGGAGAGGACGGAGATGGAGCTCATCAACCTTTTAGTGTGAGAAGAAGAAGAAGAAGAAGATTGAGACAGAGATGAAGGAAACGAGAGGGAGGCTTATTTTTTTGTTAATTTACTGAACTTCATTTACTAATGCAGGTTAAAAAAGAGTAAACAGTTAAACCGCGTGTAGAAATGTAGTTAAATTACCTTCAAAAACATGGTTTACTTATATATTTCAAATTATTAATTATTTTTAAAAAATAATAATTTGCTTTAACCCAAAACAAACTCCTCAATTTTGTTTACATGAACCCACCTCAAGCCAGAAAACCCAAAACTCATTTCATCTTAAATGGCCCAAAAAGAAAAGATCAGTACAGCCAGTTCCTGTTTTTCTTTTTTCAATTTTCATCTTCTCCGTCTCTTTCCTCTTGTTCCACACTCAAAACCCAGCCCATTCCCTGTCTTTCCCTTCTCGTTGCGTCGTTTTGGAAAGAGTCTTATTTCTTCATCAACGAGAACGGAGAGAGGGAGTTGCTCTAGCAATTTTTGTATGCGTGAAGAGGGAGAGAGATGAGGAAAAAGAAGAGAGATCGATAAATAGTTTTGTTTTGCTTGTTTCGACAATGATCCTTCCCAACATGGCCTTTAATTACTAATTAGCGAGTTTTATCTTTTTAATGTTTTGCTTGTAAGCATTCAAAGGTAGAGCTCAAGTGAAGTGAATTCATGATCAGGTCCACCACCTATCCATAAAGGAGCCCATAAATAAGCTCCATTTTTTTTTTCCTTTGGTCATTTTTACACATTGACTTCAGTATTTTTTTCAAGTTTCTTACACAATATTCGCCTTCCACAAGTGTTCTTTTAGACACTTCTCACAAGACAATTTTTTTTTTTTTCAACTTCCAAGAAGAATTAGTTTATACGAAATTTTTGTTTTCTCTCTCTCAATGAGTAAATATTACAACTTGAACAAAGAAATCAACTTTCAAACATTTCTCTCCATAGATTATTTTCAGAGATGAAGTACAACATCATCTTTGAAAAGATTATATTGAACATTAAGTACGAATGAGATCTCCAAATATGACTCAAGAAGAAAATAACTTTTTTCGTATAGATTTTTAATTAATCTCAAGAAGAATGGTTGAATTCCAAATAGCCAGAAAAGATTTAAGATCTTACCTAAAGATTCTTTCTTTAGAATAATATGATCCAAGATGAGGCATAAGAAAGAAGAGGACTTCCAAAAATGATTTTCGCTGGTTGTTAGTTCTTAAATCTTCAAAAAATATATGTATATTTAAAATGTATTCAGAAGATAATTGCAGTTGAAGTCACATATATCCATTACATGTCTAATAGTATATGGAGCACTAAATGCTCACTTTTTCGACCATTTTTCATGAGTTATGAAAAATCTAGTATGTATAAATTATTATACAAATGTGATCACACAACATTTAGTTTTGTGATTTTTTTTTATAAAATAGAAAAAACTTAAATTTACATTCAAAGTAACTCAGATAGTTGTTTAAATGAGATTTCAATGTGCATACAGAAAAATTTATTTTTAAAATACCATTATGAAAATTTTAAAATCATATTTCTTTCGGCTATAATAGAAAATCACCTAATTTTTTCCTTCAAATGCTCCCATGTAATTTTCAATCTTTATATCTTCCATTTTCTTCTTTTTTTGCTTATATCCAATGAGATCTTCAAGCTCTATTTTGTTGCTTTAGCTTTTGCTGTATTTATACTTCCAAACATTAAATGTCTGTCACTTTATCAAAATCAAAGCATATATTCTACCAAGTATAAATATTATGTTATGTTAAAAAAAAAAAAAAAAAACTTATATAGAAGTAAAAGATTTTCAAAAAAAAAAAAAATTATTACATCTTATTTTTAACAAAAATGTTAGCAATAGTTTTTATTATGTGTAACTTTAGACTTCATGATCAACTAAAATTAATTATGTTTTTTGTATTTAGGAAATTTAGATATATAACTATTATATATATTATCATATTTTATTTTTATATTTAAGAAATTTAAATAGATACTAATTTTATATTATCATATTAATTTTATTTTAATATATTTAAAAATTATTTTTATATTTAAAAATTTAAATAAATAATTATTATATATATATTATCTTATGGAAATCAAATCAAACAAGATCTTAAAACAATAAGCAAACTCGTATTAAATCAAAGAGAATGAACACGGAAGCGTACTTGAATCTATAACGAAAAAAAATTTTGCGTATTGCGGTAAATCTTCCAAACCAACACGCAATTATAAAAAATGATTTTCACTGCTGACGGGATAACAGGAAAAAAACAAAATGCATGTGTGATTTGGGGACCATAATTGTCTTTTATATTGTTGACTTTTATTATTTTCTATTTTTTTCATCATAAAATAAGAAATTACAAATATGGTATCTGCATATATCACAAGTTCATACTTAACCCTGATGCATTAAGGTCCATAACTATTTAAGTGTAATTGATCACTTTTAAACGGGCTCAATAAACTGATAACCTATTACGCACATCGAGACCCACATTAAACCTGCTTGTTGATCAAAAAGTCTAACAATCTTCCACTTAGGCTTTATATGTTACCTTAAACTGTGCGTTAAACAACTGTAGGAGTACTCAAAATTTTTTTATCAATATCTGAATGCATCACCAAATAATCTCGTCCATCAATCATGATGATATAGGATCAAAGTGGTATTCGCTACAATTATCGTAGCTAAACCCATCAATGATTACATATATCAGTATAACCAAATGACAAGGATTAAGTATGGATGTGCAACATGAAAATTACATACTATGTGATGTAAGCATGCCTATTTCCAACTGGTTATGCTTTAACCTTAGTGAGATCAACTGTAAGAAAACTCGTAGATAAAATATAAACATAAACCATAATATTAGAACTAAAATGAAAAATGAAATCCATAAACTAAATCTACAAAACTTATGACATATCTATATCATAAAAACTATTATGGTATAAAACTCCCACTGAAATTTTACATCACCAAGAGATATTACACCTATATGAGTAATGTGCTCATGAAAGACCTTTGGTGGTAATCCATTTGTGAGCGGATCCACAACCATGGAGTTTGTTCTGATGTGCTCTATTGATATCTGTTTACTTTGAACTCTTTTTTTAACAAATAGAAACTTGATCTTTATATGCTTTGACTTTGTTGAGCTCATATTATTATTGAAATATCTAATTGCAGATTTATTATCACAACATATCTTTAGTGGTATTTCAATTCCAGCTATAATGCGCAGCTCAGTGATAAAATTCCGTAGCCATATTCTATGATTAGATGTCTCATAACATGTTATAAACTCTGCTGCCATGGTGGAAGAGGCTATGAGTGTTTGTTTAGCACTCTTCCAGAAAATAGCTCCCCTAGTAAGTAAGTAGATATAGTTTGATGTAGATTTTCTACTGTCTTGGCATTTAGTAAAATCAGAATCAAAATAACTAATGATCTCTAATTGATCTAATCTCCTGTATGCGAGCATGTAGTCTATTATTCTCTGAAGATACCACATAACACGTTTGGCTATTTTCTAATTATCTATAACCGAATTGCTTAAATATCTCTCTACCATCCCAACAATGTACGCAATATCTGAACGCGTACGAACTTGTGCATACATAAGGCTCATCTACAATTAAAGCATAAGAAATCTTTTGCATCTTTTTAATCTCAAAGTCATTATTGGGGCATTGATTTAGAGTAAACTTATTTTCTTTAGACATAGGGGTATCACCTAGTTTACAATCCTGCATGCTAAATCTCTTAAGAACTTTTTTTATATAATTTTTTTATGATAATCTAAAAATACCCCGAGAGCGATCCTGATGTATATAAATCCCTAATACAAAAGACGAGTCTCCAAGATTTTTCATCTCAATTTTTTTTATCAGAAATCTCTTGATTTCGTACAATAAACTTATATCATTGTTGGCAAGCAGTATATTTTCGACATATAAAATTAAAAAAATATATTTACTCCCAATGAACTTATGGTATATACAATATTCTACTATATTCATCTCAAAACCGAACGAGATGATAACCTGATGTAATTTATGATACCATTGACGAGAAGCCTGCTTAAGTCCATAAATAGATTTATTTAGTTTGTAAACTATTTGCTTCGCATTGCCCGATACAAAATTTTCTAGCTACACCATATAAATTATCTCCAAGATCTTTCATCTCAAATTTTTTTATCAGAAATCTCTTGATTTCGTATAATAAATTTATATCACTATTGGCAAGTAGTATGTTTTTGACATATAAAATTAAAAAAATATATTTACTCTCAATTTACTTATGGTATACACAATATTCTACTATATTCATCTTAAAACCAAACGAGATGATAACCTGATGTAATTTATGATACCATTGACGAGAAGCCTGCTTAAGTCCATAAATAGATTTATTTAGTTTGTAAACTATTTGCTTCG